ACTGACAAACTTCAACTTTGAAGCACCATCAGAGTTCAGAGGGAAGGGTGGTCTGTATGTTTGAAGGCATCAGAATATTATAACCATCTGCTGCAGTTGAAACAAGCATGCCAGGAATCTGAGCATGCCAATGAAGTTCTTTGAGGTCTTTTTGTCCCTGTTACCATAAATAACCATGAGTTAAATGACTGAACAAGTGAGGGCTTTTGGAATAGAACAGTCGATCAAAACTGTTTACCTGATGGACAAAAAGAAGTTGTGGAGGTAAATCTTTTGGAGCATTCACTTGCTCCTTTGTTTTAGCTTTGAATTCTGCCTCCTCTTCCTCATCATTTTCCAAAGATAGATCCCAAATTCTGGTAACGAAAGCCAAATGACAAAATATTTTGAGTTCAGACATAGAAAGCATGAAAGTATTAGGTTTTAATGTAGGATTATCACTCTAATCTGGTCTTTAAATATTACTTACGTTAGCTGATTGTCAGAAGATGACACTGCCAAAGTGGAGGCTTCATGTGGACTCCACTCGATGGATGTGATGGGGTGTTTATGGTATTCAAAATGTGCCACTACAGAATCTCCTTCCTACGTGCAAATAGAGGAAAGAGGATATATCATTTTAGTTGTTGATTATCAATCAACTTAAAATGGCATCATTGAACCCAATTTAACACTCATAGTAAATGAATTACAAGAGAAAATGTCAGACGGATGCAGAAGTTCCAACAAGGCATACCTTAAGCAATCTAAGATCGCGAATGGAAAAGGTGCCGTCATCACTTCCAGATGCCAGCATACAACTAGCCAGCCTAAGAAAAAAAAATGGAGTGCCAAGGTCATCATATCATATGAAGCACAAAATATATCACAACAAACAAAAACAACAAACATTCACGATTTAATCACCTATTCCAAGAAATAACATTCACATCTGCATCATGCGCCTTAAAAGAAGTTGCTGGTGACTTTCCTAAACGGATATCCCATATTGCTATGTTCCCATCCACAGAGCAAGAGGCAAATACATCAGGTTCTGTAGGACTCCACTGCAAAGATAAAAGGTAAAAAAAATATCATTAATGGATAGGAAAAGATTAAGGAAATCTACTACGAGATTGTAAGGTTGACCATATGCTTTAAAACAACATATCGAACTTTAGCTTCCCATCTTAGCTACATACCTGCAGATCCTCCACACTAGAAGTATGTCCAATATACGGAGTAGTATCAACATTCCATGTTGAACCCGATGTTGGTTCCCACAGATGTATATAATTCTTGCAATCCCCTTTTAAAATCAAAAACATAAATAAATCATTAGTTTCAATGAAAAAAGCAATATATTATTAAATACCCTTGATAGAGAAAAAGAAGATATCAAACTAACTTAACAATAGTACATAGTACCAGATAGAAGCCTTCCAGGTACAAGTGGACTCCAGTCTAGAGCAAACCCTTCATCTTTATGCCCAAACTTAACCAATGGAGTCTGGTTAAAAACTGAAGAAGCTCCCTGGCTAACGTCTGCCTCTGATTCTGCTAAAGCATTTAAATGAGAACTGAAGTCCCAAACCTGCAAGAGTAGCAGGATTAATCCATCTTTAAAGTATAATGTAAATGGTCATTCAAGCGTCAGTTTAATATGAGGAACTTGTAGTTAATGTAGTTGTGAGTTTATTCTTTTAAACCATATAAGGAACTTGTAGTCATAATCTATTCTTTATGCTCAAAATTTGTACATATTTATATAAATTGTAATTGATGAAGAACTCATGCAGGATACAAGGATATAAAGTCTGACCTGCACATGACCAGTATCTGCCCAAGATGCACATATATGGGGATTTTGTGTCATGGCGCGTATACGATTTACACATCCTTCATGAGCTACCTTGCGCAACTGTACATGAGAACAAGAAAAATGGAAATGCACATAGATGAGATCAAAACTAAGCATTGTGAAGGTGAGATGAATCAAGTCTGGGATCTAACAAAATATTGCCTGCAAAACTGGTGCGCCAGATCCACCAGCCTCCTCATCATCGCTATCTTCGTCACTATCACTATCCTCACTATCCATATTAGAGTCATCATCTGCAGGTTTGGCAGGCACTGGTTCGCGCTTTTTCCCAGAAATGTTGGATACTTTAAATATTCCAAGAGAGTTCCAAGCAGCTTTCTCTGCCTGCACAACAAGAAGTTTGAGTATTCACCATCACTATCGTGTGGGTGAAAGAAAAGTGAGAAATAAATCATTCAGAAATTTAAAAGATAAAGCTCACCTGAGTCCCGGCAACGAAATACACTGTATGGGGGAACTCTGTCCGAACCAACCCCAATGTATCTCGTACAATATCAAAGCTGTCAAAAGTAATTCACTTTTAGCAATAAATTGGAAACCTCTAAAACATAATTCAATAGTCTGCGTAAGTCATAAGAGTTTCCGAAGTTAAAAAAAGCTATTCATTAACAGCCAAAAAATCAATAAAAAGCAATAGGTGTATGCTTAGTTCAACTTAGTTATACAGTTCAGCTAATCAAGCTACAACACTTGAAACACATAATTCAAAGTTTAAACTTTATGCCTTTCCTGCAATTTCTGGGCAACCAAAACGAAAAATAAATAAAATTCAGAGCAACCTTAAACAAGGCCAACCAATATGGAAGGCATGGAGAGAATTGTAAGCTGATGGGTCACACTGGAGCTCTTCGCCTTCCTCCAACTTGTCCACTCCTGGTTGCCATACCTTCGCAGGCATCGATGGTATTGCAGAGGAAGAAGACCCATCTCCTTTCTTTGAGCCCTAAACAAGAATTCAATTCGATTGAATTGGTGAAAGATAAACCCCAATTGACTGAAGTAATTAAACAATTAAAGGAGATGGAAGTGGATTGGAGCTGACCTTGTTCTTTCTCTTGGCTTTCTTAGGGTTCTTGATGCTTCGGACCATTTCTAATCTTCAGGTTTTCCAGAAACAGAGACTGATGAAGCAATGAGAAACAAAGCAAACCGAAGAGAAAGAGGGGTTTTGGTGGGGCTAGGGTTTTAGCTTATCGGGCTTCAGGCTTCCTGCTAATAAAAATGCTCTCTTTTTCCAGCCTAAAAAAAACTTATTCACAAAACAAAAGGGCCTGGGCTATTGGGCTAAAACTGACTGCTTTATCCGTTTGGGCTATTTGCAAAAGTCTTGTTGTTGAAAGGTTTGAAATTTTTATTGGATGCTTTTGACATGTTCGTTTAATCCTTTCATGGTTCTCATAGTCCAATTCCTCTATCTCTCTATCTCTCTCTCTAGTTCTGTACTTTGTAGAGCCATTTTCCTTTTGATTTGGAAATTGGAACATCTAATATGGACCTCACATCACGTTATTTATGTCTAATTTTTCAATGGTTTTATTTCTACTTGGATGGAAGTTAGATTTTATAAGAAAGAACCTTTTTGTTTCTATCTAATATTGCTGTCAACTTTTGGTACAGCGGCTGGATGGATGCATTGCAGATCATATAAATGGCTGAAGGTGCCCTCTGAACATCCCCTGTGTTGCATGGCATATTCCAGCTTCAGCTTTTGCACGCTTAGGGACCATTTCAAATTTACAAGAAGCATCGAGATCGAGGAATGATTAGCATACAAAAAGTTGCTAGTATGTCAAATAGAGAAAAGAGTCGTCTTTATAGGGGGCATGCTTGAGGAAATTGTTTTCCATCCTGCCCGCTGTGTTGACAGATTGGGCATTTGAATTGTCTCCAAGTAATGACTTGTACTAGACTTGATGTTTTCCTGTAATATGCAGGAATAAGATTTCAAGATGTGACTTCTGAAATTAGTTTAGTTTCCAAAGAGGGAATGAGATTTCGAAAGTGTGCTTATTTTTAGCTACGGTATCAGCACCAGTTGCTATAGCTCTGATTACCCACACCTAGCAACGGTTTATTTGGCGCTAAAGAAACATTAGTCCTCGCAAGGCACAAAAAACGCAGCCAATACTGAAACACCGTCGCAAAAACTTGACCTGTCACAGTTACAAATTAAAGTGTTTGACCTTTCTTTTAATTTCCCTCAACTACTATTGGCAATTTGGTAAACCATGTAGAAGGTGCAATGAACTTAACAAAATTCGACAAGGGTAATAGTAAAGGCATCTAACTATTTCCTCAACCTTTGCTTTTTTAATACAAGCAATAATTGATATTAAACTAATCTAAATTACGGAGAGGGAGGATTCGAACTTTGGTGCAGAGTGGGGAGCACATCCGCTCTAACTAATTTGGCTAAGCCCATATCAGCATTTTCTCAATGTTTTAGATCCAATTAATGTGGCACTTTTTTAATATTCAGAGCCACTTTAAACCATTTAAGTTGATGAATGATAAAAATCAAGGTATCACATAATTAATTAAATTGTGACCAGAAGCTAGTGCTTTTGACAAGTACACTTCATTATTGATATTTTACCCAATAGAAAATTTGAATTTGAATTATGCTTAAGCAAGTTATGCTATTTAAAGTTTTTGCGTAAACAGTGTTTGCGTAAATTAGCCAAATGAAAACACTCTTACAACAACTATTGCCTTAGAGGTCAAAAGACACTTAATATTTTTAGCAAGCAAAGTCATTATACAAAGGTAAAAATTGCCATATTTTTTTTTTCAGTCACAAGATCATTACTTAACAAGAAACCTAGTGGATTGTACAAAGCCAAAACAAGTACATATACAAAAAGGGCCAAGGCCAAAGAAAAGCAGTTTAAAAAAACTCAAAACAAAGCACAATTCCTAAACGACAATAAATTATTGAGTGTTACAAGGTCCAAAACAAATTCAAAGCAGTCCACACCTCGACATACGAAGGGAACGAACCAAGGACGACAAATAGTAAACAATCGAAAACAACAAAACAACACAAACACAAACAAAATATCCACACAAGATAAGGAAAAAAAAGAGTAGTTGGTTTATGTGCTTATTACACTCTTTTTTATGGATGTCGTAGTTTTGGCTAATTTAATGTAAGTTTGTCCCATCCAGTTCGGCCCTTAGCCTTTGCACGATGGGGCGTCAGAATGCCTGCATGGAAGAAGTTGCATAATGCTCCAATTGAGAACGAGGAAGCTCCCTCAGAACATGCTACCTTAGCCTTTGCACAGCGCCGCCGCCATAATGCCTGTATGTAAGAAGCTGCAAAATGCTCCAATTGAGAACGAGGAAGCTCCATCCGATAATCGAACCAAAATTGAGCGACAATTGACTTCAAGTTGTTGGCCCTAATTGAAAATGCTTCAACTTTTGTTTGGGACATAAGAGTTGTAGTGGAGATAGGTAACTCAGAAAATACGCAAGATTTGAATGCCCAATTTAGAAGTTCTTCTCCATAAAAATCACTTTTCTCAAGGCACTTGCACACATTTGTTCCACCCTTAATAGGTGTGTAGGTCAATGCAGTGCCTCCAGTGATGAAAAGCATCTTTCGGAGTGGTTCTCCCTCTCGAATGATATAAACATCCTCACCATAAGTCACCGGCTTAAGATACTGGCAGATTGCTTGTAACACTTTGTCATCTGTACTTTCAAGCAACGACACCTACCAATATATATAATTTAATAATGTTGAACAAAGTTTAATAGAAAGAATCATAGCAAATTAACCCAACTACTTACTTTCTTTAGTGAAGCCAAGCAGCACATTTTACGCATTTTCTCTATTATGTCTGCATATATCGTTTCAATCTTCTGTTGCAATTTAAGATGATCTGATACTTTTTTCGACCCCTGCATATAATTATTAATTTTATAGATACAAAAGAATTAATACGGAAATTTATATGAAGGAGCTTCAATTTTAAAGACATAAATTTAGTTTAGAATATCGCTTTGTCAAACAAAAAAAGACATCAGTTTTTTTTAAACACCAACCTGCACCCTTGAATTGAGATATACTAAAAATAGTGCCAAGCCACTTATAGAGATCACAATCGAAAAGATGATTTCGTCCCTAAAGAAACTGGTCTGAAGGTTTGAACCAAAAGAACTGCAAAAAGAAAATGAAGAAGCAATATATTTGATAAGTGTATATCGCAGGTTATAATGAAAATTCCATCTGCTACCTAGCTCAAAGTGTGTGTTCTTCTATAGGTATGGTATTAATTATCATACAATAAGAAAGAACACACTTGGGGCACTTTAGGAATAATCTTTTAACAAAACTGACTCATCTAGAGCATCTCTAAGGTTTAAATAAAATTAAACCCTTCAAGTGGAGATGCAATTTGACATAAGATAAAGAAATTTCCTTAGACGACACAAGGAAGAGTTGATGGGTTTAGAACTTTGCGTGAAATTCTATATATAAATAAAATTAATTGGTAGTGTTAGAATATAAGAACGGTTTTTTTTTTAAAAAAAAAAGAAAAAGAAATGTAAGAACGTGTCTACTACTAATACTATGACATCCTTGTAAATTGTAATTATGGGATCAAAACATGATTTATTTATTTTTGGGGGATCATCAAGAAAAGTTTAAAAGCTTTATAAATATACAAACCTCAAATTTCGCAGGCCCCACCAAATACATTGCAACATCTTCACTGGAAGATTTCTTGAGCTTGTCATATTAGATTGGAAAGCGTATAGATATATACCAAAATCGAAAGGTAAAGTTGTTACATTTTCTGAAAGTTGTACAGCGCACGACTCCCGTAAATGCGAGATATTGAACATCTTATTATAGCCCATTTTATTGAGTAACTCGGATAGATTTCTTGGATTTTTAAATCCTTTGCAATAGAATAAATGATGAAGCATTTCACTACCACACATTTGATTGAATTTACAAGTATGCTCCTTCCAACAAACTATCTTTCGGTCCACAGCAAAATAGTACCACAAGGCTCCGAATAGCTGAAAATGAGCGACAAGCACATAGTTCATAATCAATATATAGTTCATTGAAAATATAATATTATGATTCTCAAGGTTTCAGCAAGTAACTAAACATAATTAACATTAATTAAAGCAAACTTCATGGAGGTTAAATGCAAATTAAGAACAAGTTGATTATTTTTTTCTTCAAACGTGGAAGATAAGATTGAAACTTACATGAGCAGTAAGGATGAATGGAAGGAAGTCCAGAGTAGATTTAAGAAATCTTTTTACTGCGGTTTTTATTTTAGCATGCCGATCGAGCCATCGGTAGAGATTATAAGCCCGTAAAGTATATTGGATTGGAATTAGATAAAAAAGATAACCGTATATGTTACCAAAGTTTGTCAGTTGTCCAGTGAGTATGATTGCCTGGACACATTTAAAGCCAACAGTTAAAATTTGATTACTGTGTAACCAATATTAAATCATTATTAACATATAAAGATAATGTTTATGTATGCTGCCAAGTGTAGACAAGGTAATATTCCAGTTTTTGACAGGGCGGCATGACTAATAGTTTTTTTTAATTATATTATTTTCAGGATAAGATATTTAATTACGTGGAAGAAGTACGATCTTATATACCTAGGCCTGGGCACGGTTCGGGTCGGGTCCAGATTTGGCCGACCCGTGGAGCTGAATCGATGGTGACTTCGGTTCTCGGATCGGGGCGGGGCCCGGGGAAAACC